TGTGAGGGGTGTCAGGAGCTGGGGGGATCCCGTGCTGAGGGGCTTTGCAGCAGCTTTCCTAACACTTGTGCCCAGGCAGCGGGGACCTGGATCCCCCTTTTCCATCCCTAAACCCCCTCCAGCTGTCTTGCTGGTTGTGGAAAGACGGGAGCCGAGCCTGCCAAGGAGCAGGAAAAAAACCAATTTAGGGGCGCAGGGGATGGGATTTGCTGGCTGACCACCCCAGCCCCAGCCCCCGAGGTGTGGAAGCTGCTCCCCAAATCGCCCCCCTCAGCACGGCAGAAGCCCCCGAGGGAAGAATAAACCAGGGAACGAGGGGCCCCGGCGCTGTCAGGCTCTTCCCCGGGGTACAAAGGCCGCTCGGGGTGATTTGTGGGTGAGGCCGTTCTGTGACAAATGGGGAACTCGCCTGAAACTATTCAGGTTTCTTCCCCCCCTCCCCAGCAGCTGAAGTTGAGGCCGTTTGAATGGCGGGGGGCTCGGCTGGGGCGGCTGAAATCGGAGGCCAAAAAGTGTCTTTGCAGGGAAGAGTCTCGGAGAGAGGAGGAGCAGGTGGCGAATCCTGCCTTTCCCAGCCCCAAATCCAGCGCGGGGCGGTGGTGACTAAACAGAAAACGTGTGTCAGGGAATGTTCTGCTGCTCTCAAGGCTTCTCCGGGCTTTGTTTTTATCCCCCCTCCGTTTTCAAGGGAAGTCTGGTTACAAAACACAGCGGTTGCCTCGTCAGCTCTGCCCCTCTTTGATAATGTCACCGATGTCACGTTAAATTCCCTTTAAAAGCGGGGATGGTGTCGTGTTCCCCCATCGGTTCCCGAGGTTGTGCCGGCTGAGGATGTGTTATTTGTGCACAATTTCTTTTTTAGAACTCGTTAAGGAGATAATCCCTGCAGCTGGTTTACTGCTAATGAGCCTTGGAGGGCCCTGGGGTGGATGTGCCCACAAAGTTCCTTATCCCAGGATAAGGGATAACTCCAGGGATCCGGGCAGGGGATGAGTCACAGCAGTGATACCCCCCCTTGTGCTTGTGCCACTTTTTCCCTTTGGATTCGGGGCAAGGGGATCACCTTGTGTGCCTGGACACCTGTAGAATTTCAGCCTTTGGGTGGCTGGCTTGCTAAAATACGTATTTTATTTATTTTATAGGATTATTGCACTTTATTCAGGAGTTAAACCCAGCGGGCTGCGGTGTTTGTTTTCAGGGAGTTGTGCAGGGACTCGCAGAAACAGCTGAAAAGGCATTAATTTGCCCTATCCCCCGTGCTGCAGTCACAGATTGTGTTACAGCCTTGGGGTTTTGCTGAGTGGGAAAACACACCACCACTTTGATTCTGTGGGAATATTTATTTTGGGGAGGTACCAACCTTGGGGTTTGATCCACGGGCGTGGACGAGCCAACGCCGTGTGTGAATTCCTCGTGTGCAGCATCACCCCAGCCTGGCTGCTGATGGCAAACACGGCATTTCCATTAAGGTGTCACTTAATATTTGTGGTCCCTCTCGAATCCTTTCAGGAGCTGGGCAGAATTTATGCCTCCTAATTGCATTAAGCTCGGAGGGCAATGCTGACATTGTAAATTAAAGTGTATCGACATTACGCCCAGATAAATTGCTCAACCTTTGTGTGCTTGCTCAGGAGAAGATGTTATGGATCACCAGTTAACTCCAAAGTTATCCATTAGGAATTTAAGAGGTGGTGAGGAGGTATTTTTGGTAATGCCATGGTAACCTTTGCTGCTCGGGGTGGGTGGGTTGTGAACAGCCCTGATTATTTCCTTAATAATTTCCTTAGTAATTAAGTGCTGATGAAGATCTTGGAGAAGACTTGAGCAGAGAAGAAACATTTGAGAAAGGCTGGTGGAGGCATCTGCTGGGGGTCAAAGCAATCAGGAACAGAAAAATCCAGTCGTGATTTAACTCCCTGACATCGAGTCCTCTGCTGATAACAAGTTCTCTTTGTTAAAAAGTTCTCTTTGATAACAAGTTTTTCTAACCTGGGCAAGAAGGGAAAAAAAAAAAATCTTCTTCCCAAATGTCTGGGGGGGGGGGGAAAAAGGTTCTTGTGGGGCAAATTCTTGGTTTCCTTCCCTGTACAGTTGAAATATTTCAATGCAGGTGTCTCGTTTTGGTGCTTGGATGTAAAGAAATAAGGATTGGGTGGTAAAAGTGGTTGGTTTGTTGTTTTTTTTTCAGGATATCTAAACTAGGAAAGCACTTGCAGCTCGAAGTGGAGTCAAAGCTGTGAGAATGAACTTCACCAGGGTGGGTTTTTTTTGTTCTCTTGCAGGGTTTGGGCCCTTTGGAGAGCACGCTGTGAATGCCAGCTGGATTGCAGTGCAGGTAACACCTCAACTTCCCTCTCAGCACCTTTAAAACAGAGAGCAAATCCCTACAAATTTGGGTTTTTTGCTCTTTATAACTTCTAACTCCTTCCCAGCCTGACTGAGAGCAGCTCAGTGCAGATATCCAGATGGTCAGCTGGATAATGTTTGATTCACTGCTCAGGGGACAATCCCTTGACCAGTAGAGTTTAATGAGATTGAGTTAATTTAGCTGAGGCAAGGAAGGAATTCCCAGCTTTGAACCCTGTTAAATGGGGCAGGGAGCCTGGAATCTTCCTCTGCCCTGGAGAATTCAAAATAAACAAACCAACCGAGGCCAGAAGAATGTTTGGATGTTTTTTTCTCTCAGCTCTGACTTGAAGCTGGGTGAGCTGGTTCACCTTTAAACCAAGTCTCATCCCTGAGGAGACTTTCAGCTGGTGGTTTTGTGGAGCTGAGTGGGAGGAAGGTAATTCCAAGGCAAAGCAGCCACTGCTCCCTCCTTTCTCCCCTTGGATCACCCCTCTCTGATGGAGTTGGACCTCTCTGGGGACAGGAGCTGCTGGAGCAGGTCCCACCTGCTCAAATAAATCAGATTTATCCCTCTTGTAACTGTGGATCTGCACAGAATCCTGGAATATCCTGAGCTGGACCCACAGGGATCATGGAGTCCAACTCCCACCCCCAAATATCCCACCCTGTGCTGGGAGTTCATCTCTGTGACACTGAGACCTCACAAATGAGGCAAGAAGGAGGAATTTAAGCTCTTTCCAGTGAAATGAAGGTTTCTTGCTGTAAAAACACTCAGTGAGGGAGACAGTGCTGCCACATTATCCCACTTCTTTGTCACTTCTGGACGTGGTTTGTGCCAAAGCTGCTGGGAATTCCAGGGTACCTTTTAGTACAGTTGCCCAGGGGAATTAAATCTATTTTTCTCCCCAGCGTGTCTCTCTCCCCTTCAGAGCTCTGAGATTAATATCTGCTTTCCAATGCTTTTAAATTAAATCACAAACTCTAATCAATTCCAGCCAACTAATGTCCAGCTGTCTAATGTGTTGGCTGGTAGGAGAAGACAAAACCTTTGCCTCCAAGAGCCTTTTTTTTTCCTTTGGGAATGAATATATTTGAGTTAGGGTTGGTTTGGGGGAATATGCAGGCTGTGGATGGGGAAAAAAATGCAGGATATTATTAAAATTCAGGAGTGAGGAGCACTGATTTGGCTTGTTCTTGCTTGTGTAGTGGCAGCTGTTGTAAATAGCTAATTTTATTTTAGAGGAGACAGACAAAAGGGTGTTTCTGGAGCAGGAGGAGTGGTGGGTGTTGTGATGTTGCTTCCAAAAACAAACCTGAAGAGAAACAGCACTTTGTTCCTTCAGGGCACCAGTGGCTGCTGGATGGAGTCACCACCTGCCTTTAAAATCCATTTTTAGGGGGCTTGTTGGCTTTTAAAAGCATAAAACTCAGTGTTGGGGGTGTTTGGAGAGGAGGAAACAGAGTTGGGGGTATTTTGAGAGCAGGAAATTTGGAGTTGGGGTTATTTTGAGAGGAGAAAACTCAGAGTTGGGAGTATTTTGAGAGGAGAAAACTTAGAATTGGGGGTGTTTTGAGAGGAGGAAACAGAGTTGGGGGTGTTTGGAGAGGAGGAAATTCGGAGGTGGGGGTGTTTTTTGAGGAGGAAATTCGAAGTTGGGAGTATTTTGAGAGGAGAAAACTCGGAGTTGGGGGTGCTTTTAGAGGAGGAAATGGAGTTGGGGGTGTTTTGAGCAGAGAAAACTTGGAGTTGGGGGTGTTTGGAGAGGAGAAAGCTCAGAGTTGGGGGTATTTTGAGAGGAGAAAACTCGGAGTTGGGGGTGTTTTGAGGAAAAAGCTCAGAGTTGGGGGTGTTTTTAGAGGAGGAAACTTGGAGTTGGGGGTGTTTTGAGAGGAGAACACTTGGAATTGGGGGTATTTTGAGAGGAAGATATTTGGAGTTTGGGGGTATTTTGAGAGGAGGAAGCAGAGTTGGGGGTGTTTTGAGCAGAGAAAACTTGGAATTGGGGGTGTTTTGAGCCGTGAAAACGTGGAGTTGGGGTATTTTGAGAGGAGAAAGCTCAGAGTTGGGGGTATTTTGAGAGGAGAAAACTTGGAATTGGGGGTGTTTTGAGAGGAGAAAACTTGGAGTTGGGGGTGTTTTGAGGAAAAAGCTCAGTTGGGGGTGTTTTTAGAGGAGGAAACTTGGAGTTGGGGATGTTTGGAGAGGAGAAAACTCAGAGTTGGGGATGTTTTGAGCAGAGAAATCTTGGAGTTGGGGGTGTTTGGAGAGGAAGATATTTGGAATTGGGGATGTTTTGAGAGGAGGAAACAGTTGGGGGTATTTTGAGAGGAGAAAACAGAGGTGGGGGTGTTTTGAGAGGAGAAAACTCGGGGGTATTTTGAGAGGAGAAAACAGAGTTGGGGGTGTTTGGAGAGGAGAAAACTTGGGGTTGGGGGTATTTTGAGAGGAAGATATTTGGAATTGGGGATGTTTGGAGAGGAGAAAACAGAGGTGGGGGTGTTTGGAGAGGAGAAAACAGAGGTGGGGGGTGTTTGGAGAGGAGAAAACAGAGTTGGGGGTGTTTGGAGAGGAGCAAACTCGGCGCTGTTGCCGTCGGAGCCCCCGAGTCTGGTCCGTGCCTGCACAGCCCGGCTCGCAGGAGGCAGCGGGGAGGATTTGCCTTCCCTTCCCCTGTCTCAGCCCCCAGAGGCCCAGACAAAAAAAGGAACAGCATGTCTTTGAGCCCGGCCGAGGTGGGCATTGTGCGAGTTTCAGACGGGGGACTTCACGGAGCGGAGTGGACACAAAGGCGTGTCTGAGTTCCCGAATCCCAGACGGTGTGATCTGCATTTTAATAGAAGGAAAAAATCAATTAAACAATCTCTGGAAAAATCCCCCTTCCTAGCTTGAGGGCTTCAGGCTGGTTCTGGTTTATTGCAGCTTTTATTTCTCCTGCGTCCCGAGGGTAAAATTTGCTGCTTTTTTTTTTTTTCCTCCCCTCTCCGTTGGTGTTTTTGGTTTTATTTGGATTCTTAGGGAGAACACGGACACGGGGTGTCTTTTCCCTGGAACTGCAGTGAGTTTCTGGTGTAGCTGTTTGGCTTTGAAGGCTGATTTTTTACACATGGCCACCTTGAATAGTGGCAGCAGCAATCTAATAAAATCCTGAAGTGAAATGTTTGAAGACTTTCATCCCTGTTTAGGTTTTTCACACACGGGGGAGAGATTTCCCCATAAACCCAGCGGGAAGAATAACTTTATTTTAAGGCTTCCAGCAAAAATCCTCCTGTGTTAACGTGGATTTGCTGTTGAGTGTTTTCATATTTTTAGTATTTCATACGAAGATTTATTATTATTTATTATTATTGTTGTTGTTGTTGTTGTTGTTGTTGTTGTTTTTACAGCTGCAATTTTTTTGCTTGGGAGGGACCTTGGAGAAGAAATGAGTTTTCTTGCCCTCCCTGGTGTGACTTTAGGTGTAGACACAGGTGTGCCCTGTGGGATGGGAAGCTCCTGGGCTGCTGCCTTCATCCCCCCCTTCCCCCGAGGAGCTTCTGGAGGAGGAGGAGGAGAGGTCAGAGTGGGTTTTGACATCAGGAAGGACAATTGCTGTCAGGGTGTCTAGACAGACCTGATAAGGATATTAGAGGCTCACAAAGAGCAGCATTGTGGAGGGGTCAGGGAATCGGTCACACATGTTGGGTTTGCTGTATTTGTCAGGTAGACAGGGCTGGGGGGGGAAAGGAGTTGTTGGGGGGGTGAAGGAAGGAGGGGGGAGTACAAATATCTTCATTATCGAGCGCTGGGTTTGGTTAAAACCGAACTGTGGGTTGGTAAAGTTAAGGTTTAACTGTCTGGAGGGAGGTGCTGGTGCATCTTCCTCCTGTCCACGCTGTTTTCTTTTTCAGCCAGTAAAACTTTCCACCCCCAGATTCATCCTTAGGAGCTGTTTGGCTCCTGATCCTTCAGGAGCATCCCTTCTTGTGAAGAGAGGTGGTGATGAATCCTGAGCAATTAACGCCCCTAAAGAGGGTTTATTCTCCTGGCTGGGGTTTGAACCTCTCATTTGTAAACTCCTCCTTTTACAAACACTCCCCTCACAAACCAGGGAAGGGGTTTGAAGGCAGGTTTGTTGTAAAGGAGCTGTGATGAACCATCACTTCCATCCATCTCTGGTAATGAATGTCTGAGTGTGCCAGACACTAATCAATACAGCAAGGCTTTAATATCAGCCTTGCCCTCAGAGCCAGTGATTTATCACTGTTGCTCCTATCTGCTGGCCTGTGAAAAGTCTCACTCTTGCCTCTCTGGGTGTTTTACTTAATCTTAAATCTTGTTACACCACCGTGGTTTTGTCCCTACAAGTGTGAAAGGTGGTTTTTTTTTCCTCTGTAAAAAAACCCACTCGTGCTGATAACACAGAAAAGTGATACTAAAGCACTGCTCATGTTTATATAGAGGAGGGGTAGGATGGTGTGGCAGTTTGAGCCACATTAGAAATCTAAAATCCAATTTCCAGGCTCCCTTCCCACCTTTGGGGGAGGCCAAAACCTCAAATCCTTTCGACTGTCTTTAATGTTTAATTTTTAACCTCGGGAGGAACACGAGGTTTGAAGTGAAAGCAGCTGATCTGCACTCCTTGGCCTGAAGTTTGCAAGCAGGAAAAATAAAAAAGCCCGAGAATTGCTTCAAAGAGCAGCTCATGGCTCTTGATCAGCAAACCTGAACCTGAATTAGAGGTAACTTGGTCGTTCAGGAATATTTTGAGGTGCCCTTTGATGGTTTGGTGGCTCTTCTGTTGCTTGTTTCTGCCTCAGAACCGTGAGAACAACTGCAGGGGTTGGTGAGAGACAGGCCTGGAGGTGAGGTGTGAGAGCACATGGCTCCTTCTGCCCTCAGGGAGGAGGAGGAGGCACCTGGAGAATCATGGAATCATGGAATGGTCTGGCTTGGAAGGGACCTTAAAGCTCATCCAGTTGCTGCCATGGGCAGGGATGTTTAAGATCCTGCTGGAAAAGTCCCTCCTGGCATAGCCTGGCTCCTAAATTTTGGGCTCAGCTGATGCTTTAGTTTATGAGCATTTTTCCCTCACACCTCAGGCTGTGTGGGTTTGTACCTGAGTTCTTGGAAATTTGGGGTTTGGTGGCTCTGAAAGGTTCAGTTCTGCGGTACCAGCTGAAAAAAACGTCCAGCTGGAGCTTTGCTGGTGGGACTGGAGTTTCTGGGAGAAGCATCCAGAACCAAGGGAAGCTCCCAGCGTTGGGATCAAACAGTGCTTTCCACTCAGGAATGCTGGGGGCAAAGAAACCACCCTTCTCTCTGGTTTTAAAGTCCTTGCAAGGTATCGAACTGACACTTTGTGTTTTAAAGGGTTTAAAGGGAATTGGCTCCGTTGATTGCCAGGATATTTGGGATGTTTTCCTGTCACAGAGGGAGAAATAATTCACTGTGTGAGTTGAGTCACCAGTGCTGTCACCCAGCCCTGAGAGCTCTTTATCTGGCGACAAATGTGAATTTACTCTCCAGGCCAGCATGGATGATGGATCTGATCCTTCCAGTTCTGCCTTCTCCACGGAGTCACTCCTTGGGAAAAAAAAAAAAGAAAAGCAGGGATTATGACTCTCTCCCTCTATAAATAACAGAGCCAACCTTTCCTTGGAGTGTGGGTGTTGCTGATAACTATTGTCAGTTAAATGTTGATGTCTTTGTTCACACACATCAGAGCCCAACAAACGGTCCTGTGGGTGGAACTGTTAACACAGGTGGAGAAGTGCCTTTGTTGTTCCCATTATGGTTTGGGGGGTTTTTTTCACAGTTTTAGCTGTAAACTCCCTCCAGGTGCTGTTTACAAGTTTATACAACCCGGTGTAAACTGATGTCCCCCTCTTGCTCTGCCATTAAACCTTCCAGAAGTAAATCCTGTGCTCATCTCCTGTCTGACCACCTTGGGTTTTGTTGCTTTCCTGGTGTCTTTAGGAGCTGGAGAAGCTGGGCCTGCGGGATGACGTGGATCTGCACGTCTACGAGGTCCCTGTTGAGTACCAGACAGTGCAACGACTCATTCCTGCCTTGTGGAAGAAGCACAGCCCCCAAGTGAGTGAGTAAAGGCAGGAAAACCACCCAGCAAAGGGTTGAAACCTACAGTGAGCATCGTGTGAAGTCCCAATTTTAACGTCTTCTCTCAGGCTGGTGGTCCCTGGTGTGGATCTTTTCATCTTTTGTCGTGAGAACATGTGAATTTGTGGGGTTTTACAGCTCAGAGTGCTCCAATTCCTGGGAGCAGTCGGTGTGAAGAGGCCACTGCAAAGGGCTGTCTAGACAGCCCGTGGTTAGTCTGTGCCACCTGGGCTCCTCCAGCAGCTGTGAACGTGCCAGGGCTGGTTTTTACCCTGATTAAATCCCAATTTGGGTCAGGAGGAGGTGAAACAAGAATTGTGCTGTACAGTGCCCAGTGCTCCTGGAAGAACTCCTGTAACAGCTCCAGCATGAACTGGGAATAGAATCATGGAATCACAGGATGGTTTGGGTTGGAAGGACCTTAAATGTCATCCAGTCCCACCCTCTACCACAGGCAGGGACACCTCCCACTATCCCAGGTTTCTCCTTTGATCCAACCTGGCCTTGGACACTTCCAGGGATGGGGCAGCCACAGCTTCTCTGGGCACCCTGTGCCAGGGCCTCACCAGCTTCCCAGGGAAGGATTTCTTCCCAGTATCCCATCTATCCCTGCCATCTGGGATGGAAAAGCCCTCTGGGATCACAGAGTCCAGCCTGTGACCAGTCACCACCTCGTCACCCACAGAAGAGCTCTGAGTGCCACATGCAGTGCCCCGGGCAGGGATCACGGATATCCAGAGTTTGGAAGGCTCCCACAAGGATCAGGCCGTGTGTTTCCCACCCTTTTGGGGTTGATCCAGCTCGTTTCTTTTCCCTTGCAGCTGGTGGTTCACGTGGGAGTGTCGGGCATGGCCACGACCGTCACCCTGGAGAAGTGTGGCCACAACGTGGGTTACAAAGGGTTGGACAACTGCCGGTTCTGCCCGGGCTCCCAGTGCTGCGTGGAGGGTGGGCCAGAGTGCATCGACTCCATCATTGACATGGACACAGTTTGCAAGAGGGTCTCAGCACTGGGGCTGGACGTGGCCGTCACCATCTCCAAGGACGCCGGCAGGTACGGGGTGCCAGCGATCCATGGGGACAGTGTGTGGAGTCATGGAAGCCTGGAATGGGTTGGGTTGGAAGGAGGGGGTCTTAATCTCATCCAGTCCCACCCCCTGCCATGGAAGGGATGCCTTCCACTAGCCCAGGGTGCTCCAACCTGGCCTGGGACACTCCCAGGGATGGGGCAGCCACAGCTTCTCTGGGAATTCCATCCCAGTCCCTCCCCACCCTCACAGGGAGGAATTCCTTCCCAATATCCCATCTAACCCTGTGAAACCATTCCCTGTGTGCTGTCCCTCCATCCCTTGTCCGAAAATCCCTGTCCAGCTCTCCTGGAGCCCCCTTAGGCCCTGGAAATTTGGTCACATCTTAACACCATCATATCACCACGTTCATGGAATCAGAGAATCCCAGAGTGGTTTGGGTTGGAAGGGACCTTAAAGCCCATCCAGTCCCACCCCCTACCATGGGCAGGGACACCTTCCACTATCCCAGGTTGCTCCAAGCCCCATCCAAGGTTGCTCCAAGCCCCATCCAAGGTGACCTTGGACACTTCCAGGGATGGGGCAGCCACCACCTCACGCGAACGTGTCCCATGTGTTCCCTTCGTGCTCAGCTCTTGAGGCCCCTAAAATTCATACACTTGTCATGGAATCACAGGATTGGAAAAGCCCTCAAAGATCATCAATTCCAACCATTCCCCCAGCACTGCCAAGGCCACCACATGTCCCCAAGTGCCACATCCACGTGGCTTTTGAGGTCTCCCACCCCTCACTTCTCACAGGGTTGGCAACACCCCCTATTTTTCGGTGGTCACCCAACCATCAGGGATATAAAAAAACCAGTTCTTCACGGGGTTTTTTTTGTCTTAGATTTAATTAGAACAATCCCAGACTCACAATTCCAGGCTCATATTCCACTTTATCCCACTAAATCCCGCTGTTGTGCTGATCCACAAACGGCTCGTCCTGACCTGTATTTGTGTGATTTTTTTGGGGGTAAATATCCCTCTTTTTGTGTTCCAGGTACCTCTGTGACTTCAC